GGGTAGCGTCCTCCACAACCTTCTATGGATGTCAGTATTTTACGGTGCAGGCACAACCACAACGGGCAGCAACGGTCACAACCACCTGATTTTGCCCCACGTGGACATTGAGAATGAAATCCTGGTAGGCAATTACTCAGAAAGGAAAAAAAAAAAACAAACCAACAAACAAAAACACTCAAACAAAGAAAATCCCAAAACAGCAATCCCAAAGTATTTTTACAGCTCCAGATGAAGTTCAGAAAACCCCAAATAGTTCTGCAAAAATCTAGCCAGGGATCTATCGTTCATTACGGCTCATCACAAGTGAAAAAACCACCAGAGAAGGAACAACAGCATTTCTGGAAAGCAGCCAACACGCTGTTGTACTGTGCTGACTGTTCTTTCTCAAGAGAAAAAACAAAACTGGGGCAGAATCCTCCTTTTCTAGAAGGGGATAATCTAGAAATCCCCAGAAAGGAACAAGGCATCCCCACGCTCCAGTGGAAAACTGAAGTCAGGTTTCTTAGGACAGAGGTCTAGCCGATCAAATCCCGGTTCCGACTTCTGCGATTCCAACCACGACACCCTAAGCAGCAGCGTGAAGGAGGATTGGTTTCCCCCAGAACCGCAAGGCACCAGCCACCACTACGAGAGGAACGATTTTGTCTGCTGGAATTAAAGTTCATATTCTCAGTCAACACCAAAATTCGTGTCTCAAGTAGTTTTTGTGTCCATTGCTGAGTTCTCATATTTGGAACAATTCTTTATAATACCAGAATAGGAGTATTCTTTACCTCTCTTTTTCGGTCTTAAAGCAAGAAAGGTGAAAAGAGTCCCTAAAGAAGCAGAAGCAATGACCACAGAACATTTATTTGGGCAACAATGACCAAACAGCAGCTTATCTTTGGCTGCTGCTCCTTATATACCAGTAGAAGGGTGTGCCTATTGCTGCTTTTTCCCCAGGTAGGCTTTAAGGCAACAGTTAAAAACAGGAATCGGTTTCACATGAAGAACAAAGCTTCAATTTTTAACAAGCTAATATCACTGAACAGACCAGTCCCTTCCCTCCTCTCTTTCTTTTGGACCACCTCAGTTTCTAACTTCTACATGGTAAATCTAACAAGAAGTCACTCAAGGCAACATCCCTACCAGATGCAGGCTACCAGTTACAGGAACGACAGCATTTTTATTCTGCTCCAAATCGGTTTTTAGCACCACACTGGGCTCAAGTTTATGTCTTGAACTTGGTAAAAGTCCTGAAAAACATTAGCTGAGATTTTCTTCCAGGAGATAACTGCAGAAGAACGAACACGTCTTGCCAGAACGTCACCACTCCTCACGTAACGCAAATGTGATTTTACAGGTAGGAAAACACTCAGAATTCAAGCAATTTGTTCAAGACTGGACGATTCTGTAAAGGAATTCAAAAAGCCCTGACGAAGTATCAACCCTAGCAGATACTGGCCTCACGTCACCAACACCAGGATTTTCCAAATCTTCCCTCCTCTGTCCTGTACCTTCACCTACATTCTTCATGGCAGTACCTGAACCTGAAACCACTGTATTAGTTTCACAGCCAAGCCTTCGCCCAGCCACCACACCCACGAGAACACGCTGCTCTTACCGGTGCGAGAACTTGTGGCCCATCGCGATCCACTCCTTCTCTATCAGAACCTTCAGTTTCAAAACAGAGATTACAAAGAGAGCGTCACTTTGGCTAGAAAAAGCAAAACGAAGCCTTTTCTGTTAAAACTCCAAAAAGCTTACAACCAACGCTACCTGCTGCTGTGAGGGTATCCAAGCCAATGAAAACAGTAAGTGATTTACAGATTAGAGCTATCCACAGCTACTGTTGGAACCAGAAGTTACTTCAATCAAGAAGTCATTTCAAGTCCAGCACAATTTTGAGGGAGCTTCTATGTTGTTAAAAATCACAATATATAAACACACTGAGAATTAACAGCTTGATGTAACACTATGTACTATTTAATTCGGAAAACAGTATCATGATATTCAGCAAAATAAATCACCAACTGAAATTCAACAAAAACTTAACACACAAATAGGAATAGAAGTAGTACAGCTGTGTATTGAGGAGCTCAGGATGAAATTGGAAAAACTATCAGGCTATAAAACTGTATTTTAAACAGAATGCCTGTGCTATAGATAAGGAAATAACAAGGAAACAGTATTTTCCTTAAACACGTCTGTGAAGGAACCAAATGTCCGATGCTGAATCCATTATGACTCGCCTTGCTGGATCACACTTAAAAGCCCAATTCCTGCTAGCATCATCCAGAGACTTACAGAACAACAGGAAGGCAGAAATTCACAACAAAGTCATATGGCTTTTCAAATTTCCCCATTCTTCACGCTTTTGTTGCGTTCATTTTGGAATAACCACTGTCAGAGGACAGACAATTAGTTACTGCTCCTGTTCCTGATCAAAATCGACTTTTAGTTCACACAGGATCGCCCTGTGCACAAGAATGAGTTCCACCCAGTTTTAAATCCCAGCAGGTAAGAGGCCATTTGCGATCACGGTCTTAAATGACAAGCTGCTTCACCACTTTTTTTGTGGCTTGCTGCCAGACTTGCCTCCTCTGCTCACTCCTCTCTTGCTGAAAGGTCTCATTAGTGGCTCTCACGTGGACATTCAAGGGAACAAAGATTTGGGAACCGTAAATCAAACGGTGCCGTTTTGTGCCCGTGCTGTTCAGAGCAATTAAAGCTCGTTTATAGAGTCAAAGCTGTTTTTATAGAGGTCACCCACTGTTTGTTCCAGGAAATGACCCAAACCATTTCATTAGGGCCCGTTTACATTTCAAACCCAGGAAGCACTTTTCATTTTGGAAACTCCCAACGTTCGTGTTCTTACCATGAAGCCTTTAAAAGTCCTATAAAAGGGATCTAGGAGGAGGCTGGCCAGGGAGCAGACCTGGGCTGTGCGATCCCAGCCGTCAGAGCAGTGGACTAACACGCTAGCCCTTTCATCTCTCACAGCCTGCGAAGGAGAGAGCAGACACAACAGTTTAGCAGCTTTCGGGGTTGGTTACCGTAACTAAATGCTGCCCTTTCATCTGCATTTACCTGACTGGCCTAAAACTCAAGAGGAAAATTGGTCATTTCTCTTCTGGACCACGGCAATGCAGTTTCTGGGCACACAGCCACCACCCCACAGGAAACCCCAACCAGAATAAAACGCTGTAGCATGCCTGGTCAGCAACACAGGCTGTCAAGAAACAAAGGCCCTGTGATCTCAAAATGCTTCGTCTTCTGAAAGGCTAAGAATCCTCGGTGCCCTCTGAGGAAAAATTTGGTGGATGAGCGGAGAAAAACGGGGACTAAGAACTTCAAGAAGAACTAGAAGAGCTCATCCCAACTTCCTCCCATAAGGATTCCCCTTCTCCTCCACCGGTGGCAGAAGAGAAACACCAAATAGCTTCTTGCTGGCCACACAGGAAATTTTAAGAGAGAAAAGGCAACATCCACAGAAGGTCACTCCTCTGGTCACGTGTTACCTGCATGCCCTCTGCTGTCACTGAAGAGCCATAGGGACTTTTCTCCTTTTGCCTGACCTGCAAAGCCACCAGCTCTGCAGAAACGAGGACTGCCTTGAATAACCAAAATGAGCAGTCCCCGCATCGCACGGAACCAGGAGGAACTAAACCGGTCTGAACAGTCCCTCACTTAAAGCAGAGCAGTTCAATAACTAACGAGCACAAGGTTACAAGATGTTTGCACTACTAAACAGGCGTTATATAAAGGTCATTTATTCACATTCTGGGATTTGATTTGTTTCAAATGAGTTCTCATAAAGCCTAGAGAGCTGCTCGTTACCATGCAGCCAACAGGACAACGTCCCAACCCCAAGGCATTTCATTTAGTCACAGGCAGCGTCTAGGAGAGCGCCAGCTGGGTAACCCACTCGACGTTCTCCCGCTGCAGGCTTGGTTTTGAGAGCTGAGGCCAACCTCAACAGCCACGTTTTCCCACCTTCTCTCCAGAAACACCTTCACAGCCTTGGAGCAGTCCCCAACAGACAAGTACATATTTTTTTAATTCCCCTGCAGGTTGGAGGACAGTTTTACCTTGGCAAGAAAGACACCTGCATCCATCACAGCCTTAATGTGCCGTAACCAGCCTGAGTTCTCCAGCCCAGTGAGGAAATCGCTCATTGAGGGGGACTTCATTTCACACACTAAGAACACAAACACAGGAATTAGCTGACACTCCGTCACCAACATCTCTTTCCCACCTCCTCATTATCTCTTCACAGCACAGAGCTTGGTAGATCCCAAAAGCTAGCATTCCCACACTTTTTACGTGTCAGCAGCAATACCCTGCCTAAAGGACACAGAAACTACTGCCTGCAGACTTAAACACACAAACCAGCAATTTGTATCTAGGGAAGAACCTGAGGATCTCAAAATATCCTCCTCCTCTCTTCTTAAATGGTAACTCAGTATTTTTTCAGCTGAGGTTTTTTCCGCAACAAAGAAGCGTTTGGTGATCTGGTACTTCGCTATAGATCACACATCCCAACCACTACCATGCCGTCACCATCAGAAAGATCTGAAGAAAGGAGAACTCTGACTTAGAGAGAGAAATAACATGTCCAACCTTGAGGGCAACTCAGATGCTACACTGAAACCCAGCACAGAAAATACTTATCGTAATACAATCCAATAGTCTGTGAGGACCAGCAACAGAGATTTTATTGCTGTCCAAGAAGAACATGGGAGTAAATCAGTACTTATTCTGCCTCTTCTTCCACCACAAAATAAATCTGCCAGGAACAGGCAATTGAGGTCTTATACTTGCGATCAGGCCAATCTCTTGGTAGTGTGAATAGCCTCATTTTTCTCCAAGGTCACCACAGATCCTGCAGTGCTACCTGGCCAGGCAACTGGTAGCATCCATTATCCAACTGTTTTGAAGCAAGATGACTCTTAGGCTGGTTACTAAAATATTAAACTCCTATTCTGACTGACAGCACTTTATTGCATTTTAGAAAGCTAAGCACAGGGACCAAGCAGAATGATTTGCAGCATCTACTCCGCCCTGTTCCGCAGTCTTTGTCAGCCCACGGACGGTAAAAGTGCTGGAAAGCAGCTAGCAGAGTATGCTGGTTGGATCCAAGCTACGCCCTCACCTTTAATGGAACTTCTCCAAAACTACATTAATGAGAAGATGGGCCTGACTCACTTCTTCTCTCCAATGGCTCAGGTAAGCATTGCTTCTGCCCTGCTTCACAGTTTTACCCAAGATCACAATCTCAGAGTCGCTGAATTACCAGAGCTACTCTGCATTTTAATATATTTTAATGTATTAAAACATTGATTTAATACATTTTGATGGATTAAAACCAAGTTCAGCTAAAGAAATCAGAAATAAATGAAAAAAAAAAAAAAGAACTACGTACGTATGAGAGTAAAGTCTCTGGAAGATCATGAGAAAACTTTATTTCAAATCAGAAGCACTGTTTAACACTGAAATACTCCAAACTAAACGTAGCAAACCCCACAAAAGTATTTCCTCAACAACCTATGGTAGTTTTCTTTCAACAGCTCACAAAGTAAGCACGAGACCACCTTAACGGTAAAACGTAGTATTCCGTTGGCCTTTTTCTTCTAGTTCACGGAGGGTTTCTATATTCAGCAAAAAGTTCTGTCCAAAATTAGCCAAGGGTAATGAAGACGGGCCGCTGGCACGGACCGCACCTACCTTCCAGGAGTTTCTGCAAGCTGTTCCGCATCACATGGATGTTCTCTATGCCGATGAACTTGAAGCGAATGTTATCGTAATTATCTTCATTCTCATAACCCTTCCCCGCAGCTCGGTTGGCCATGGCATTTAACTGTCAAATCCAAGGGAACGGGATAGAAAAGAAAGAGAGAAAATTACAGCAAACAATACACAGAAATAAACGAGTCTTTTTTTTTTTTTTTTTAAATCTCCCAGAATATATACTGACCAAAGTCGTTACTCAGATGTCCTGCCCCACCTCCCAGACTTTACTTCCAGCCGTTGCACTACCATTATGCCAGTGTCTCCAGTCCATTAGCCATATGCAGAGACTCGTTAAAACCCTGGCTTGAATTTTTAGGGTAGGCAGTAGCGAAACTGCGCCCAATTTCAGAATACTCCTGTCATCAAAACAGGTAAAGAGACACCGAGTCTGCCTGAACCGTGAAGCTACGTAACAAGATTCAGACAGGAGCGTACGAAAGCAAAACTAGGAAAGCCGCTTTTACGAGTAACATACATACATGGTGGTACAGAAATAGTAAGAGAATTCCAAAGCTTTTCACAGACATACATGCACAGATGAAATAAAGCCACCTAAGGGAAACATAGAAATATTAAAGTTGAGCAGAAAGAAAGCAACCACCTGGAACTGCAGAAAAGGAGTAGAAAAGAAGCCAGTTGCTCTAACAATTACCTCAATCAGTTCAAGAGCTACCGGGAAATCTGTAGTGGTGACCAATAAAATAAAATAAATAAAAAAAAAATCACTTCAACCCCCCACATATTAATTTGGGAAGAGGAGCGATTTGCCTCCATGGAGAGGAGAGCAGGAAGAGTCAGATACAGTATATACATCTTTAGAACAAGTACATAACCCCTACCCTTCAGAGGGAGACAACGGTGTTACAAGGAGAAATGTGACCAATTATAAATTCTCCCTTTTCACCAAAGACTTCAGAACAAAATTGCCACCAACGACAGATTTCAGCGGAACATCTACGACACTGGAAGCTGTCTGTACCCAAAGAACATGCAGCGGTTGCCATAAACATACAGTAATTACAGAACGGGTTCTCTCTAGGAAACATCATGCTACAAAAAGCCAAAATACATCTTGGAACAACAGGTGAAACATTCCCTGTTTTCCCAAAAAGACTTTTTCCCTTCTTGCCCTTGCCATGGTTTAACTAAATCTGCAGTTTCTATAAAACAACTGCAATATCTGAACAGTGAAGCAGGTTCTCAGAAAGCTCAATTTCAAAACCATCAGAACACTTTGAAATCTTTGCATTTAAATAATTGTGTACTATGAAAATCCTTGTGTTCCGATTTGCTTATACCGACACTCCCAATCAATAGGCTCACAAGCCAATCATTTGAATTGGTTTCTTGACTCCTCAAGCAGGAGTCAAGAGATTCCACTCTGGGAATGTTTCTTCAATATCCTCTTAGATGAACATCTCCCCAGAGAAGTTCTAGCCCCCAACAGCGGCTACGGACCAGGAGAGCTGAATTGTATTAAACGCCAAGCGGCACATCATGACAGTAACACCAGTGTTATTCTTACAAAGGCAAGAAAACGGAGGAATTGCTTTTCTCAATCGTTACCAGACTCCGTACAGCCCCGCTTGTTGCCAGCTCTGCTGATCAAAGCACTTCAGCCTCGTGGAACTGAATCCTAAGGCTTCTCTCCAACTCAACACAGTGAGGAGGGAGCTCTCTGCAGGAGAATGCTTCACTGCCTCGGCCAGCTCCAAGGCTGCCAGCCACTTCAGGTCATCCTTATTGCAAACCTCAACCCAGAATCCTCCAGGAGCACATTCTTAACAGCACTTCACGCTGCAGTTCTATTATGCACGAGCATTTGTCACATTCAGACACCGAACCAGGAGCCTGATGCTGAATTCCTGATTGGGGAATTCCATCTAACGCAGCATAAGAAAGCATTAGCACAGCTGTGAAAGAAAGAACTGGAAACAGCATTACTACTTCAGACACAAGCTTTAAAAGTAGCCACAAACCCCGTGAAGATACCTTTGGCCTTGTGTCTACAACATACATGAAGGGGCTCCCAGGGTTGGCTTCTCTGATCACCTGCAGCATTTGTTCATCCTCCAGGCAGCGCGCACTGAACCCGGACAGAGGCTGGCTACAACGACATATGGCAGCCTGCAACACACAACAGCTCACAGCTTTCTGCTTTCAGGTTGTCTCCACTGCACTGCCCCAAAGAGCACTCATCTGTTGGGCTTAAGTGTCCTCTTCTCCGTTTCACTGAAAAACTGCTACTTGAGTGGACACACAGAAATACTACTGGAATATTCCTCAAAGCTAGAAGTTTGGGAATCTTAAGAAAAACCATCTTTTCCACAACTTTGCTCAGCAGTTGCTACCGTTCCATGCTCGGAACTGCACTGAGTATGCTTTGGGGGAATTTCAATCCTCGCCAGCACAACTCCATACAGTTGCCCAGGTCAAGGCACGCTTCCTCAGGAAAACAGCAATTTGACTGTGACAGCATTTTCCTAACATCTGCATCTAAAACATTGCTGAGACAGCAAAGTTAAAAATTTACATTCCCGTCTTCAGTGGAAAAAAAAAAAAAAAACAACCTGAAACCTTCACTTATTCTGAGCTACTGGGGATTTATTTCAGGGTGGCTCCTCCTCTTCAATACTAAGAAAAATCTAGCTGAGTTACGTGTTATCTCGTTAAAACATTATTCAATACAGCTAAACAGTAGATTAAAAAAAACCCACGTAGTGAGACACTGCTGAAAGCTGATTAAAAAAAAAAATTTCCAGACAGGAAGCTTGGAAAGTTTGTGCTTTTCACATAGCGCTGGATGCGTCCCAAGCGTTTGTCTTTAGCTGATTCTGTGACTCAGAACAAACTAATATCAAAGCTGTTAAGAGAAGCACAGCTCTCAAACGTGAAGTTAACAGGCTCTACTAATTATCTCATTCTTTCCTTTCACTAAAAAGGGACTGGACACAAGGGGAACCCTTACTCCGCACAAGGACAGCAGGCAATGAACAACTAACATTGTTTTCTTTATATAGGTAAGAAAGCACCGGAATCCGCCCTCTGCTTCTGAACCTTGAACTTCCGATCACCACTGCCTTATTAGCAGCTCTAGGCACCACTATTTCTGGAGGATATGTGTTGCAAACCTAAGTGAGAAGAAAGAAAAAAAACAAACAAACAAAAACAAACCACCCAGATATTACTACTTAGCAATTCCAAATTCATGAAAAATTCATCTTCAGCTTATAATCTAGCATTTATAAACAGGAATAGATTGTTTCCCACAGTGCATCTAGCGCAGCCCACGTCTAAAGTTTCAAGCCATTAAGATACATTTAGAAAACCAGGAATAGGTGCAAAATAAAACAATGTGGTGAAGGAAGCAATGAATTTTGCAATCGAACCTAAAAAAAATGGACTGCACAGCACACCATACACAGTATGAGGAAGTTCTTTAAACCCATAAACTTCATGAAAGTTTCTGATTTATCACAAAAAGAAATTAGGAACACCTATATTAAAAAAGTTCCCTCTAAATCTTATTGAACTTGAAATGAGCTTCCAGCAATCAGGTGGCATCCTCAGAGACCAGCTTTATCCTTTTTCCTCAAACAAGTACAGTCTTTTCAGCACGTACTTCAGAGATAAGCTGTTCTCCAAGTCTCGCTTTACTTTAGGCTTGACAATTTTAAAACATAAGCTGGAAACCCTGAGGAAATTATAAAGCCCTGGCACTCGAGAGTTAGCAAGCAAAGCTTCAAAGTGATTAATGATTTTAGATGCCCACATTCAGATGCCCTAATCAGCTAATGGAAAAAGCACCTCTCGCGCCATATCTCAATTCAGGCAGCCAAAGATACAGTCATTTAAAAGTACCAGTCACTTCTGACAGCACAGCCTTCCATTTCTTCAACCCAAAGTGTAACAGTAAAGAAAACTAGCGGGGGAAGAGAGTGGAGAGCAGAGGGAAGAGATTTGAGACTTAATATGTTGGTGTCTTCCTCGGAGTTGTTTGCTTTGTCTTTTAGACAGAAAGGTCTGTCTGTTCACTCCACCAGAAGAAATAAAAAGGGAGATAACATGAAGCAGGAGTTTGAGTAAGCTTGCTGAAAAATGCTTTCAGTTAGTGTTGTTTAGATCCAACCTGGCCTTATACAGGGGAGAAAGGAAGGGGTTAACAGCAGCAGCCAGTTCGGACTGAAATAACTGAGAGCCCTTGTTCAGAAGAAGATCCAAGCAAGCAAGCAAGAAAAAAAAAAGTTATGTCTGTTTTCCATCACCATTTTTTCCTCCCTTACCTAGTCCCTTTCCACTCCGCCTCATTCCCCCCCAGGCCAAACCACTGCCATTTATTTCTCTGCTACACATCTGTCACCAGCCTGGTGGGACAGGGCCTGGAAATGCCAAAAGCAGCTAAGGGTACTTCAGAGTTTTCCTAACAGATGGTTTGACATTTCCCTAGAAAAACAAGCGGCTGGTACTTTGCCAGGGGGATCAAAGCAAACCAAGGTGACTCTGCAGCTCTGCTCTGTTCTTCCAGAGCATCGTTACCTGCAACTTCACATCGAGACGATGCTGCTTCGATTAAAACCAACTGAGCTCATCCCTCCCCAGAGGCAGCACTTATGCAGCAGTGGAAGGACTGCTGTATGTCATTAATAACAAAGAGAGAACTGCATTAAATGGCTATTTTGGGCAAGAATTACCTCATAGTCCTTATTAACATCCGTTATTTCCCAATAGTCATTCGGAATTCCCATACGCTGGTAATCTACTTTTAAATCAATCAGCTTCCATCCAATCTCCCGGTTTTCTTTAGACATTTTAGGATTGTAAGAGAAAGCGTAAAGTTCTTCAGTTTTCACTGGGAAGAAGAAAGAAAAAAATTACCTAGTTAGAGACACAAAGACATAGGGAGAGGTCAGCACTTCTCCCCAACGGTCACCTTTCGGGTAAGCCCACGAGCCCCAGGGGGACCACGACCGATACAAGGGCTGAAAAAAAATTATTCCATCAAGAAAGATCAGGAGACTCAGAAATCATTTACTAAAGAAGCCAAAGGGTCACGCCACCGTACTGCAGAGTTGGCTATATTTTAATAAGAACTATCTTCCTCATGCTTCTGCCTCCTCAAAGGTCAGAAGCATGAAGTTTTCTTTTATCACTTCGCATACTTCGCTACTCTAAACAAACTTCAGACTGATTCTCACTCCTTCAAAAAACAAAAATTCAGTACTACATAGAAGAGTACAGACATTTAAAATTTCTCAACCTCACATTTACAGGTTTTCGTTCAGGGCAGCACTGAGCGCTGACAATTTGTACCGAAATCCTCAGGAATTTCCAATGCTCGGTTCCCACATGCAGCAAGACAAGCTAAAACACCTTGTCAGAATTAATTCAAACTTCAAGTCAGTCATTTTTCCCCGGACAAATTATTTCCTACTGATTTCACTGCAATAGGCACGTTAGACGAGATTTATATCGTAAGAATTAATCCATAATTGAAAACATGTATTAAAAGATGTATTTTCTGTGAGGAGTTCAAAAACCAGCTCTTGCACACCCGCGAGTTCACCATGCAACATGAGTTCTGAGCCACACGGAAAACTTGATGGATGTCTTGAATATTCCTGTCAGCCCAACAAAAGCTTCAGGCTGTGTCTGACAAATAGCAATTTCTTCCTCCCTCCGTCTCTACCGTCCCCATTTCCTTCCCTCTCTTCATAAATTGCAAATCCAACCAGTAACTCATTCAGCTGGTTTGCAAGGCAGCAAGTGCTCCAGAGACAGTGACACCTGTCAGTCTCTGATAAAGTAGCGAGGTGACCGGACAGGTAACCCATAGCTGTCCATCACACACAGGCAAATCCTAAATAATTATATGCTCTGTGAAAAAAAAAACCACGAAGGAAGCACACAGAGATTTTAAAACAACAAAAGAGAACTGTTGAAATCTATACATAGAACAAAAGAGCTGCAGAATATTACACAAATAACCACAAGACAAAAGAAACTGATGTCATCCCCCGCGGTGACGGCTCCCACGCTTCAAGGCACTGCACAAGCCTCTAATTTTCAAAACTGAAAGCCCAGTGACAGCTTTTAATCGCCACACGAGAAACCTGCCAGCTTCAGCGTCAGGATTAGAACTCCAGAACTAAGAAAACTCCAATGCTCAGAGCACAAGGGAGATGCTGGGAATAGACAAAAGCCTTAGTTTCAATCAAAAAAAAAAAAAACAAAACCCAAACTCAGCAAAACCCATTTCTGCTACGGTATTTCTATTTGAGTCCTATGTAGTGGCCAGTGTGAAGCAGGCTGGTGCTATCAATTCCTTTCCCTTAGACTAGCGACATAATTACAAATGGCATCGTTATAATAACGTCAAGCTTCACACACTGGTTCACTGAAGGAGCACCCCAAAACCAGAAGCTGCCACAGACAGAAGTCAGGTAGGAAACTGGGTGGAATGCTGTCCCGCAAGAAGAACAAGCAGCCTGAAGATTCATCCACGATGGACTGAAAAGCTGAAGCCAGAGGAGACCACAGGCTTTTGAGGATGCTTTGTTTACACTCTACGAGTGACTCCAAGCCAGGGTGAAGCGCAGGGTTTCACAACTGAATGAAGACAAAGCACTGAGTAGCCTAAACGTGCTATTGGGAATGTTATTGTGGGAACTCCGTGAACATCTGGATCAACTGGGAAGTGCAGAACTACCCACGGCCAACAGCTAAGTCCCAGCAACGCCTGACAATGGCCAGGTATGGGATACGTCACCCAGCCTGAGCTCTACAAGCCCAAGAGGCCACGTACAGCCTCAGCCAGGCAAACGAACTTTGCACAGGTCTTCCACAGGTCCTCACGGGAGACCACCTCCTCCCCAGCGCCACGGCAGATCTGCGCTTCGTTTGGAAGCCCTGGAGCGCAGGGCAGCGCTCTACTGACTGAGCCAACCCGCGCAGATCGTCTCTGGTGGTGGAAACGGGTTCTGATTTCACGTCCTCCCTCTCCTGTACCGACACCGCAAACCCGTGGCAGAGCTTTCTCTGTCGCTCAGACGAACCTCCCAGCTTAAAGCACCTCAACAATTTGCAAAACAGACTCTGATCCCAAATACCTGGTTGGGAAAGCTTAAGCAACGAGGTATACACGTCGTGACAGTCACGTTCCTGCCCGATGACAAAGTGGGCCACGTGGAAGTTCTTGCAGTGAAGGAGGAGGGGGTACCCAGCCGTGGTCAGGGGCAGTTTTTCCACAGTTGCAATGTGGTGATGCAGAATCTGAAAACCAGGAAAGAGACAACATTTTTCAGAAGCCAGCGAGGAGGCTGCGAGCAGCACAAGCAGATACTGAGTTTTTGTGATACCATCACTTATTTATGCTTCCTGCACCCGACTAGCAGCAGAAAAGGAGTTTATTGGCGATATTGATCAAGCACACAGAGCAGACGTCCAGACTGCGCACCCAAAGGCTACGTAGCCAAAAGCAAGACTGAAAAAATACAGGTCTATAAATATCACTTTTAGAGACTGATGTGCAGCTCAGCTCACCTGGTTCACTTTGCCTTCCCACCACCCCCACATGCAATATATTTTGTCACTCCCTTTTTACTTCAGAGTTACTAAAAAAGGTTCACTTCAGTGCTAATTTTGCACTTCTAAAAGCTGTAAATTCAAGTTTGGTGGCTCAGTATATTGAGCTTGAGACAGGAAACTAGACAAGTTTTGTTATATTCCTGGAACTAACAGTAATTCTGCGAGTGACCTCTACCAAGTCACATCACCAGTGTGTTCATTTCCTTCCAAACCAGCTGTTTCTGCTGAGCATTTGGTATCAAACTGCTATAAAAGGCCACTACAGCTTTGGAATTCACAAACCTGTTCTTTTTGGGTACAAAATATAAAGTAATTTTTACACTTTTAAACAGGCTCCAGGTATCACAACATACCCATGTTTCTTTTCTGACTTCAGCAGAAGCATCTACATAGATAAGGTGGGTCGCTGTCAGGTATAACGTCCCGTTTGCTGCCTTCCTATTTGTATAGCGGTCTAGTAATTTCACATTTTCAACCTGCAACACAAAAAGAGCATGAGAAAACGAATTTAACTTTGATCCAGGGAATATCTAAGCACTTGTTGAACTGCAAACATGTAACTGCCAATACACAACTCGGGAAGAAACACAGAAGAAGACAAGAATTAAAGTTTCCCCTGCAACAGTAACTCAGCTTTAAACTACAAATTCAAATTATTTCTCCAGCAATTAAAGCCAAAAAGGTTAAGCAAACAGCCCAGGTTTAGCACCAGCGTGAGTAACAGGATTACTGGACTCGTAGCCAAGATGATCACAGTTTATTACTGTGCAAGGTCGCAGAAATAATAAGACAAAGAACTTTGAAATAAAAGACTGTCCATGTTCAGCGTAACCAAAGTGTTGCTCCGAAAAGCAGCCCTCCCCAGGCTGACTTCCAACTGCTCTGACACTCTAAGAAGTATTAGTAGCTACTTCTAACTACTACTAACACACTTCCTAGGCATCTAAGTGCGATTCATAAACCACACTAAGCTAATTAATAAAAACAGTTTTAAAGAACATCAGCGCAGACATAATAAAATATTAAAGTATTTTACATTATTTGATTGATTTTTCTCCTGGCCTATTTGCTTCTTGATGGATGCAGATGGAATTTTTCTTCCACCATTAAGCAAAAATAATGGAAAAAAAATAATTAGAAGGGCAATGCAAGCAAACATTTTAACAGTATCTGATAAATTAGGTCTGGGTATGGGATATGTGAGCTTCCTTACAGGGTCATTGGTCTGAGATAGATCATGGAAAGCGTCAGCAAAGAAACTTAAAAGAGCAGAGGCCTCGGCTGTACGTCTTTCTAGCATGCCATGTTTTCCAGCACCTGTGATTATTACGTCTAATACTGCCCTTTTTCAGGCCACTAGAGACAAGCAGGTCCAGCAAAGCACCTGAGGCAACATGGGTAAGGAGCATCCCCAAATAACATCCTAGAGAATAAAAGAACACAAAATACAGCAACCTGCATGGTATTAAAATAAATAGATCAGTCGACAGCTGGACAGACAGCTGCCTTAAGTAAATACAATTTTTTTTAGCTGCCATGAGCACAGCATTCCCAGAGCTCCTGTTTTACTGCACTTAACTCAAAAAAAGGCACATTTTGATTCGCTTATTCGGACTGAGGAGGGGGGGTGGGGTGGGGGGGTGTCTCCGCACTTTGATATCAATGAAGTTCACACGAATCGCACGCAAACCACCTTTTGATCAGAATCCTTACTGCAAGCTGCCCTTCCAACGAGGCAGAAATACCTAAAAAACACCATGTCGAGGAGCTTTAAGCCT